GGCTGGAGGAGTTGCGGCCGAGCTTGAGTTGCGGTCGGGCTTGAGTAGCTGCCGGGCTTGAGGAGAGGCCGGCCTTAAGGATTTGACGCCGGGCTTAAGGAGTAGCGGCCAGACTAGAGAAGTATCGGGGTCGGGCAGGAGAAGGTCAGCCCCATAGAATTCCAAGGAGCCCAAAGGGCGAAGCCCAAGCCATGGATTCGTGCCCAAGATTTCCGGAAGAATATATGCACGCGGAGAATGCCTCACAAGGAAAGAAATCAAGGAGATTGATGATAGTTCAGAATATTCCAAAACAAGAGAAAATCAAGAAATTAGAGTATCTCTACCATTGAAATCCCATGGATTTAGGGGGCCTCGAAAGGAAAGAATTTTAAAAGAGTTGACATTTGGCCATTCAATGGCCAGCCTATGGGCCAACAAACGCTCTATATAAATCTCACCAAAAGAAGGCAGAAGACACACAACATCAGACAGACAAACCTATTTTTCGCCTAGCACTTTTCTTTTCCTAGATTTAGAATTTTACTTTTCAAGCACCTAGTGTAGAGAGTTCTTCCTTTCCTAGTGTAAGTTTAAATTATTGCAATTTACATTACCTCGTCTTTTAAATTCAAGTCTATTTCAATTGCTTTACTTTTCATTATTATCGCATTTTAATTAAGTTTAATTTCAAGTTTAATTTAGTTTATCGTTCTTATCGTTCTTATCGCTTTTATTTCATTCTTGCTTTATTTATCAATTTGATCTATTTTATCGCACTTTAATTCTTGTCTTTACGTTTAAATGCACATTTAATTTAATCGCATGTTTTTCACCTAAAAACCTAAAAATCACAAAAACATCCATACGAAGCTTAACCATCCTCGAGCTCGAGGAAGTGAAAGAACCTAGGCCAAGAGGAGGTTCCTTGCTTGGCCGATCAATCACTTGATCATAAGTTAGAAGCGCAACATATCCATCTACTCACATTCCATTTAAGCCCAAATTAGTGGCTTGGTGGTGGTACGCCCCGCATTCAAAAGAAGAAGGACCAAAAGTTCCTTCCGTCGGCCTACCTGGTCGAAAAGAGGGAAACAATAATAATTCTTTATATAAACTTAAGATCCTTGCAAGCTTAAATTCTTTTTCCTTTAACTTTATATCTTTCTATTAGGAATTGTTTATTTTATAAAGGCAAAAATATTACAAAGAAGATCCACGACGGATCTGATGACCATACAAATCGAAGTTAACTCTATAACTAATATCGCAAAGGAAGATGATGAAATAAAATACAAGTATTATCAGTATAATGTCCATTCTAATCCAAGAAATCCGCTACTATATATTAACTTCCCGAAAAATATGCTAAAAATAGACCTGAGTGTAATCCTGTAGCAAGTACCAAATATCATGTATGATTGACCGAATCCTCGAAGGAGTAGGGATTTGTTAATTTCTTCAGAAATAGAATTAGAATCTTGGAATCGCCTTCAGTTTCTAAATACTTTAGAAGCAGCCGAGATGCCCAAGTTAATGCATCTCGTAGTGCTAGAGCTTGACGAGCAGAAGCATCACGTATATATATATATGTGAGTATATATTAAAACGTTTGTTAGATAAAGATCCTCTCATATATAAAACTACATTGTTTTTAAGGAGTAATTTCTTCCGTCCACTGTAAATTTTTTGTTTTTTGAGAGTAAATTATAGCAGTAACCCACCACAAGCTTATTTGATTTCTCAAATATCAGAACTGAAGAGCATGCGTTTAGGCAACCATCAAGCTTCGGTGACATTGAAACACTTAACCACCCATTTCATCATCAGGTGGGCCCAACTCATGGCACAGACAAATGGTCCCACAGAAAAAACCTCATCTGGCTTACGTGGATTTTGAGACATCAACATCACCAAAATAATCCGGCCAATATTTATGATCAACCGAGTTATGGCTCCCACCAAACGTATCATCCTAATGACTATAATGGCCAAAATGTTCTTAGAATAGGTGAAAGGCCATATGTTGACTGCACGGACAAAGAATATCAAGGTTTGATAAAGGGAACATCTAAAGTCAATGATGTATTTATGGAGATGGCAGATAGTTTTTATGTTT